TTCATTTTGGGGGGATGCCTCGTTAAAAACCTCATTAGGAAAAACCCTGTGGGAAAAAATCCCAATGAGGGAAAAAGAGTGCACCGAATTCCCCCAATGATGAATCGAAAACGTGAAGCCCTGGTCTGGAATGGAGAACGATGCTGATGCCGAAGGCCTTCCTTGTTCTGAGGGCTCATGTGTTGATTAACCGGAGGCTTGCTTTTGATATCCTGGGAGGTGCCGAAGGGGAGTCCCTCAATCTGGGGATCGAGGGCGTAATGAATGAGAGTAGTAGTTGAAGTGTTACCGGGGTGTCCCCTGTTTGTTGATTAGTTGGTGATGAGGATATTCGAGGGCTCCTGTAACCTGTGTGTCGTAGGCTGTCCGTCAATGAGGCGCATTTCCCGGGGGCTACCCGGCCCTCAAAGTGCTGAGGGGGGATCCCCGAGGGGTGGCCTGTTATGAAGCCGTGGGCTTCTGAAGAGTGAGCCCGAAGGCACTTGTTATGTAGTGTGTGGGGCACAAACCGGGAGCGTCTCTGGGTAAGCGTACCCGGAGGCTCTTCTTGATGAAGTGAAGTGAAGTAAAAAGCCTGGGGGGCTAATTTCTTGGTTGATGAAGGAGTGGTCTGTCAAGTGTAGCCGGGAGCTCCCAGAATATAGCCGTTGGAGATATAGCCGTTGGAATATCTAACGTCAGGATATAGCCGTTGGGGGGGTTGCCACGTGGTGTGTGCTCGTTGGCTGCCCGTGGGCGGGCGTCACCAATTGGGCGAAACCACGGTTTGTAATGATGGCAATCCAGCCGGAGGCCCGGTTTCCAGACCCAAGCCCGGATCCCATTGCCTATAAATACCCCATGGCCGGACACCACCCTTCCTGTGCGATTACTTGTTAGCGAAGCTCTGCCGGATTTTTTCTAGAGAGAGAAACACTGCCCTCGATCTAACTCCCGCTTTAAGGTCAGTTCTCCATCTGTTCTTCTCCCTCCTTATCTAGTTGTAGCGGCCTTAGATCTAGGAGTTGTAACCTAGAACACTTAGTGTTTTCGAGCCCTCGAACCAGTGGAAAGATGTCCTCCCAAAGTGATTCCCAGGACATATCGAGGGATCCCTCGATGGAAGAGGAGAGCTTCTCGGACGCGGGGTCCTCGAGCGAGCAACCCTCGGCCCAGGAAGATGTCGCGATGGCGGTGGAAGTGCAGAAGGAGTTGGTGGCCGAAGTCGAAGCCGAGGGCTTCGAGCAAGAGGTGGAGGATGAAGAGCTTGCCCTCGCCGTACAAGTTGCAGAGGAGGAGGAAGAGAAGGAGAGGCTGAGGGTGACCGTGGTTGTTCTTCCCCCTCGGGGTGCTGGTGAGGCAGGGAGCTCTCGCCCCCTCAACCCGACGCCGATAAGAGTGGCCCCCGGGAAAAAACAGGAGAAGAAGAAAACCGCTCCTAAGAAGAAATGCATTGCTGCTGTTCATGGGAAGCCCATAGATGTGCCCGAGGGGTACTCCTGGCTGAATACTGCTACCCTGGAGATAGGGTCGAGGACTGACAGGGAAGATATGTACGTGACTCAGCTGCACGTGGGGCCTTCGGCTGTGGTGGTGGCGCTGGGCCCTGATGATGTGCTCTCCCGGGCTCCCGAGGGTTGCATCGCCGTGCACATCCTGTCGGTGTCAATGGGGCTCCGGTTCCCCCTGCACCCATTCCTCCGGGAGTATCTCCGGTATGTGGGCTTGGTCCCCTGCCAGTTGACGCCTAACAGCCACTCCTACGTGGCGGGCTTCCTGAACCTCTGCCGGGCTCGAGGGGCGACCCCCAGCCTGTACTTGTTTTTTCAGAGCTTCAACCTCTGCCGAGGGGGTCACGCGAACGCCGAGGGCTTCGCCAATCTGCAACAGGTGGCTCGGTAGAAATTATTCACAGAAGTGCCCTCATCCAACAAAGGCTGGAAGGAGCGGTGGTGCTACGTTCGAATTGCCGAGAGCCCCTTTCCGATGGAACTTCGGGATCGCTTCCGTCGGCATCCGAAGGTCGGAAGTGCTGCTCTGGAGAAGGATGGCTTCATAATAGCCAAGATCCCGGAGGGTCGCACGAAGCAAGTGTCCATTAAGGACTTCACAGCTGACAAGGAGCTTTTCGCCCTCGGCTTCCGCAGATATCGCTTCCTCGGCGAAGCAGACGAGAAATATCCTGTGCTGGCAGGAGGTAGTATCCGAGGGCTTCCCTTTTTTTACTTAGGATTTTTCCCCCCTTTCTTTTTTTGCTCTCTTTCCTTTCGGTCTAACCCCTTTGTTTTTGTTGGCAGGTGTTAATATGGACGCTGGTAAACTCTTCGCTCTGAAGAAAAAGAAGGGTAAGACCCAAGCCCAGAAGAAGGACCCTTCGGTCCAACCGCCTGTGGGAGCCTTCTTCCAAAAAGAGACTCTGGAGCCCTCTGCTGCGGAGGGAGTTGCCGAGGTGGCGGAGGGGGCCACCAAAAAGAAAAAGGGGAGCAAGGCGGTTGAGCCCCCGGCTAAGAAGCAAAGGGGTACAGGGGGCATTGTCGGCCAGGATGCCCCCTTGGTGATCATTGAGGATCGCCCTTCTCCGGATCCCCCCATTGGTGCTGCGGTGACAACCCAAACTGATCCTCCCTTGAGAAGCCCCCCTCGGGAGATCCTGCGGCTTTCCTTGGCCCCGGGGGCTTCTATCCTACATGGCTCAGCGGAGCCGAAAGCTTTCTTGAAGGGGATGACCTCGGTCATGGACAAGGTTGCCCTCTCAACCTACGATGATGAGGCCCTCGAGAACAGGATCCTTCGATCTTCATTAACTGTAAGTTTGTTCCTTTAGGTTTTGTGTTTAACTTTTAATGCTCTTCTCATGTTAATCTGACCCCTCCTCCCGTTGTTTATCAGGCTTGCGTAGCCCTCGGGGAGCACGCACAGAGGCTTGAGCAATGGCGCCTCAAGAAGGCGGAGCAGGATCGGGAGACGAGGGAGCTCATCCTGAAGAACTCCGATGCTGTAAAGCAGATGGCCATGCTGGAGGAAGATCTCCGGAAAGCTGCCGAGGGCGCTGAGCTGAAGGCCAAAGCTGCAGCGGAGGAAGCCAGGCTTGAGGCCGAGAGGGCAGCTAGGAAAGCCGCCGAGGAGGCAGAGCTTGCTAAGGCCGAGGCCGTCACCAAAGCCCGAGAAGAAGCTGTTGCCGCATTCATGGCTGAGGGGTGGAAAGCCGAAGATAGGCGGCAGTGGGTGGCCTCGGTTGTGGAGTCATCAGTAGATGACTGGGTGAAGGGCCCTGGGGGAGACTGGATGGCGGAGAGGGGAGATAATTATTACCAAGGGGGTGAATTCTTCACCCAGCACCTTGTGTACCGGAGGCTAGCCAGGCACTTCCAAGTCTCCCTCGAGGAATTCGACCCCTCGGCGTATGGCCTTCCTCCTCTGCAGCCAGACGTGAGAAACCCCCTCCCCCCGGGCGAAGAGAGGCCGGTGATCCATGACTCCATGATGATGGGGGGATCCGGCGATGGTGATGCCGAGGACGCCATCGGGGAGGAGGTCACCTCGAAGCCCGCCGAGGAGGCAACAGCTGAAGAAAACACTTGTACTTAGTAGCTTTTGAATACCTTTTCTTCTTGTTTGTAATGAATATTTGTGTACTCTCGGCCTCGGCCATATTGTAATATATACTTTAACTCTTCCGTTCTTCTTATGAATGAATACCGGCCTTCGGGATTTTATGTATAATTCGTTTCCTCCAATTGTTCTTCTTTGAATGTATGCCCTCGTTTTTTCTGAATGTATGTCTTCGCCTCTTCTGAATGTATGTTTAGGACATAGAATAATTTTTCTAAGTATTTGAATACAGTCTAGCCTTCGATAGTTGGGTACCCTTCGTTGGATGTATGACCGAGGGCCCAGCAATAGTTAGGACTTAGAAAATATTTCTAAGTATGCTTTTACCAAGTCCTCATCCGTATGGTCCTCGGGCTGCATGGAGATTTGACCGAGGGTGAAAACTTTTGGGACTTAGAAATTTTTCTAAGTGTAGAATGTATGAAGTAGGAGCCCTCGGGTAGCATGGAGATTTGACCGAGGGTCAAAATATGTAGGACTTAGAAAATTTTTCTAAGTGTAGCTTCACTAAGTCTTCAACCGTATGGCCCCTCGAGCAGCATGGAGATTTGACTGATGGTCAAAATATGTAGGACTTGGAATTTTTTTTCTAAGTGTAGCTTCACCAAGCCTTCAATCGTATGGCCCCTCGGGCAGCATGGAGATTTGACCGAGGGTCAAAATTTGTAGGACTTAGATTTTTTTTCTAAGTGTAGCTTCACTAAGTCTTCAACCGTATGGCCCCTCGGGCAGCATGGAGATTTGACCGATGGTCAAAATATGTAGGACTTAGAAATTTTTTTCTAAGTGTAGCATGTATGAAGGAGGATCCCTCGGGTGAATGTGAGGACCTTGTTTGAGGTATGCCTTCGGTTGACTATTGACTCCACAGGGAACAAAGTATTTAGGACTTAGATTATTTCCTCTCACTACAAGAAAAAGCACGATTTGCAATGGAAGTGTGCAACGAACTAAATTGTGTTGCAAAAGTGCAATGAAAGTTGCAACGGAATGTTAAAACATTGCAATATTGCAACCGCTACTGCTACGAAAAAAAATGTCATTGCAAAAGCAACGAGAATTTGGTGGAAAAATAAATTACAACAAAATTTGCAATGACTAGTTATTTCCGTTGCAAAATTGCAACAAAAATAGCAATAGACTATTATTTAGTTGCATAGTTCCAAATTTGCAACAAATTTGCAACAAAAATATCACTCATTGCAAATAATTATTTGCAACGATTATGCCTAGCAACAACAATTTGCAAGAGAACTCTTTCCGTTGCAACTTTAAAAAATTAATGGAATTATCTACCATTTTTAATTTATGGGGGAAAAATTATAAACAAAATATTTTACTTCCATATGATTTTTTACTATTTCATCGAAATTTTGGATCAACAGTTTGGCGCTTAACGAAAAATATACCTAGTACTTCCCGCTGAAATAAACTTAGTGCAGCCTCCTTCCTTCCTTCTAACTCTTACTCATCCCGTCTCCAAGCCGAATCTAAATCCCTAATTAGGCGAATCTTCTTCTCCTGCCCATTCAATTCCACGAACTCCCCTGCCTCCAAGCCGCCAACCGTTGTCCGTCGGCAAGGATACCTGTGTTTAGGCCTCTGGAGTTGCCAGCCGCCACCACAACACTCTAGCAGTCTAGCACCGCACCTCCGCACGTCCAGCACCGCACCTCCGCACATCCAGCATGCACCCGTATGCACGCTAACGACAGTCAGACAACACTCATCAAGGCAGCTCACGTCCTCAGCCTCGCAGGTATGTTTATAAGGTTTATCTATATCAGTAATTTAATTTTTAAATTATATATCACTTAAATCATTAAGTGATTGAAAGAACGTTGAATCGGCTTAGGTCTCTACGTTATTAGACTGTCCTGATAGAGAGAACGTTGAATCAGCTAAGGTCTCTATGCTATTAGACTGCCTATTCTATCAAATTTACTGCTTGATTGGATGAATTATCTTAATTACTGGCTCATGCTGTGAAAGATAGAGAGCCACTACTTCCCATTTCAATCAAATAAAGGGGGGGGGGGGGGGAACACAGCCCTAGGATGTTATCATGTTTAATGTGATCAGTCCATCTTTGAAGTTTGGTGCCTTGCGCCTGGTAAATGACTAACCAATTTTTACTTGTTATTATGGATTATAGAATAGACAGTCTTTTTAATTAAAGCAATTTTCTGTTACTATAAGCGCAAAACAGGCAGCGTAAAGTATGGGCAAGCTTTCGTTAAAAAAAAAGAGAACGTTGAATCGGCCCGAATCATTGAATCAGCATGCATCCGTTCTCAAAATCCGAGTTAATTCAAGATAATACACTTTGAATCATAAAGGAATATTTTTGAGTTAAACTTCAGAGACTACTCACTGAAGTCTCTTATCTTCTTCACTATTAATTAATCGGTCATCTTCGAGATTTCAGTGTTTAGGGTTATACATTGAAGCGTCTTAGCAGCTAGACTAGTGGAAGGTTTTATCTAATTCCTATATTTAATTCTATTTTTTTTGGTTAATTTTGAAAACAAGTATAATTCATATATTGGATTTGATTTAGGCATTTTAAATTTTTAGGAGAATTTAGTCACTTGAAACTATGCATTCTTTAATTGATTTTGATGTTTTCCAGTATGTAGTTTCTTGTGTTTTATTTGCTTAAAAGGTTTTAATTAAGTTAGGGGACTGGTCTATTAAAGGCACTCTTTGTTTGGCAACTTTTCCAGTCCCTTTCTTGAATATCAGATCCCTCACGCTCTTGAGATTAGGATACCCAAATGTGATGTAAGGCTCCTGATTCTGCAAAATTCCTAATGCTCTTTCTTTTTTCTTTTTTTTACAGAAATGCTCTTATTGATTACTAAGTGAGATAGATGCTGAATGTTTACATTTCATTATTTCCATTGTTTTGTTTCCCCAGGTCATTCTGTTACTGATTTGATTTCAAATACCACTTCAAGTCCCTCTGTTAAACTTGACTCTGAAACGGTATGTGATTGTTAAATGGTTTTAAACCCTCTTTGTAGTACATATTTTATGCTATGTTGCATCATTCTGCGTAATTTGGTTTTACTAACTACTGTGCTCACAATAGGGTTAAAAATATCATTCTTTGATTTTTTTTTCACTGTGAGGTCAACATTCTGACGAGCATTTTGAAAGTAAATCTTTGCTGTACACAACCTGTTCCAAGTTTTTGTATATTCTCAAACTAGAACACCGTTTCATGTTCACATTAGATTGTTGCTATTGTTGCTCACCCAAGGTTAGCAGGTTTTTAGTTTTGAGGAAGTCTATACCTTGTCCGTATTTAACATTCTTTTGGGTTGTGTGGGGATGATTCCCACTTTTTGTCCCGTTCCTTTTTGAGTTTTCCAAGCCAAAAGTTACAAGTGCATAGAGAGGAAAGAAATACAACAAACAGTTACTAAAGTCCTACGCAGGAAGCTCATTTTAATTAGGTTTTCAAGTTTTAAGATTGAGTTTTGTGACTTGACTTTTGGCAATTATGCCTTTAAACATATATTTCTTGCTTCTGTCTTATTATCTTTAATGAATATTTTGTTTCTCTTATGATTTTTACAAAGATTGTTTAATAGTTTGAAGTATTTTTGAGAAGAGTGGTTCATGTAGAAGTTTCAGTAGCAGAAGAAATCAGCAGTGAAGATTCATTCAATTCAGTCTCTTTCCAGTACTTGATAGTAAAAAATATTTCTTCACTTTTCTGCAGCTCCTCATAGTTTCCCATCTCTGAAACTACTACTGTATTGGATGCAAACTCCTTTATGTACCTTTCAACTTCTTCCTCTTTTAATTCTTTTCTCACTGATTGCGGTACCATGAGCTTCAGTATCTGCACTCTTAGTCCACTAGATGGAAAGCCCTGGTCCTTCCTCAGTATTGCATGTATCACAGCTTTCCACGTATCACTTGAATGAAGCTTCTCACAGAAAAGGTCATACAGAACTTCATCCGCCCTCATGTCAAAAGAGAGTTCAAGTGGACTTGAGTTATTGTGCTGGCCGTCTCTATTTACAGCAGTTAACTGTTTTGATATTGCTGCAAACCTTCTTTCCAGAAACAAATCCCCATCCCCTGTAATGAGTGTGTTCATGTCTTTGATGATTTCCAGGAACTTGTGACTAAGAAGACTAGAAATTTTAGCATCCTTCAACCCTGTGTGGACCTGCTGCTCTGTCATCTGCCGAAAAGTAATGACATAGTATGCTAACTCCCCCAAGTTATGCAATTTTAACTTTACCCTTTCCTTACTGCCCCACATTGTCAACATGAACTCCCATAAATTTTCTAAAAGCATTTCCTTTGCTTGCCGATGCTGTTGACCTCTGACAGGAACAATTTTATCTTCTATAATATCCCAGAGGTTGAAAAATCCATTTTCTTCATCAATTCTGTAACTATTCCCAAATGGACATGAGGGGAGAATCAAACCAACAATAGATGATTGGTTGTGCCTTAAATCCACATCGACGGTAAGATCAGCACCAATGAATAAGAAATCTTTATCTGTTTCCCCAGCTGAAGATCCTCCTGGAGATATGGCATGGGTGTCCGGTGTCCCCATTCATCCCATGCTGATTAATAACAATCCAAGGTGGGACCTTAACACAAACTGTTCTGCTGTTATCCATCTTTTCCCCTGAATGTATCATGTCTTTTGATCCCTGAGTAATAGTTACCCCTCCACACCAGACATCTTTTGAAAGAGAGCTGGAATCTGGATCACCGTGGTCTGCATCATTCTTCCAGTAAACAAAAAATGCACACATCTTCATAATGTTTTTCTCTCCTACCTTCTGCGTTTCCTCTATTTGTGCAGTCCATACACCAAATTCTAAAGAATTGGTTCTCACAAGGTTCTCTAATAGTCCATCTTCATGAGATATTACAGAATCATCTACTGACCACTGCATTGTGGCAGCATCATGTTTAATATCTGCTTGTATTCCATTTTCTAGGATACCAATGAATGCTGCATCTCGTGCTTTGCTATTAATTTCCTTAATAGCAGCAGTATACGAAGTATCTTGAGAATCATCTACTTGTCCAGTGTCAGTATTGATTTTCTGCCAAGCAAGGTTTGTGAAAGTAGCTACAGATGTAACAGGGTCTCCAATACTAGTATGTGACTCTGTATACTCAGTACCTATAAAGTTTTGAGGAATCACTTGGTTCTCCAATTCATAACCAGCAATTTTATCAACGGCAGATTCATATTCCTTAGAAATAGAGGATTGAGTCACCATAGAAAAATTCTCCTCTCGTTTCTCGTCACCATTGGTGAAAGTTTCTTCATATGAAGGTTGTCCCTGACTCACAGACTGCTGCGGAAGTGAAACTGACTCAACTTGCGAACAGTGAAACGCGGAAATCTGCAGTGAAACCTGCGAACAAGGGAGATCTGTTCGCTGCGAAGCAGGCAAAGCTGAGAACGATGAAACTTGTGATCTCATGAACTCTGCTCGCGGCGCAGTTGGCGAACTTGTAGAAGGTGCTTGTGACTGAGACGACACCTGAAAACCGGAAGCTACTGTTCGCGACCAAGCTGAAACCGTTTGCGATGACTTCTGCGAACGGAAAGCTTCTCCTCTCGATCGCGTTGGATTTGGACGTGAAGTTTGCGAAGCTGAGGAAGACTTTGTTCGCGATTCCTTCAGCACATGCTGCCCAGGACTTTGCGTTGGATTTGGACGTGAAGTTTACTCCAACACAATCTGCCCAGGACATGCTGGAGTTCAGAGCTGTGACTGATTTCTTCAGCACATCTTCTTTCCAACATTTTTCGAACAACATTATCCCCTTCTTCTCTAATTTTTTGAACAAAGGCTCCAAGCCTCAAACAGCGTTTAAAAAAATTGAAGTTCAAAATATTTCTGACCTCTTTATTTTTCAAAATTTAAAAACAGTTTCAACTGCTAGAAACAAAACTCAAACAATTCCAACAAGCTCGGCAATCTGGTTTATGACACTTTGTTGTGACTTGTTTTTCATATTTGATGGAAAACGCATCATCAAGGCTTAAAAGTGCTAAAAGTATGTAGTCACTTAAATAAGGGTTTATTAATGGTCAACGACAACATTTGCTTTATGGTACACCTTTTCTTTCTTTGCTGATGCGTTAGAAAAATTTGGTGTTACCTTTTCCTATTATTATTACACCTCTTTTTCGTATACAGATTGTGTAATACGTATTGACAGCTTGAGGAGCAAAGTGAACCTAAAGTCCATTATCAGTTCAATCAAAGAATAGAGAAGTACATAACAGTATGTGCTTTCTATGGGGGCACCCTGATGCTTACAATTTTTATGGGGGCACCCTGATGCTTACTATTTTTATGGGGGCACCCTGATGCTTATTATTTTTATGGGGGCACCCTGATGCTTATTATTTTTATGGGGGCACCCTGATGCTTATTATTTTTATGGGGACATCCCGATGCTTACTATTTTTATTGGGGCACCCAGATGCTTAAAGGTTGTGATGGGGGCACCCTGATGCTTAGTTTTTGTGATGGGGGCACCCTAATGCTGTATTATGATTTTTTATATTTGTTGCTCGGGTTTTATTTAAAATTTGATTTATTACATTTTAGTTATAGTCACAAAAAATAGTCACATAATAAAACTACTAAAAACACTCGGTATAGCCCATTTGAGTTCCCATTATCAATTAAACATAAGTTTTAAAATAATAATTTGCTTAATGTGATTACATAGATACAAGAATGAGTTTTACAAATAGAAACTGGATGTATCAAAGGAAAGATGAAGGCGGGTATCTTACTAAAGTATTCATCAAAGGAGTTGATATGTTCGTTAACTTTGCAAAGAGTATGCCAGACTTCATGGATGGAAACAAAATTAGGTGTCCATGCACAAAATGTCATAATCGGCAATACCAAGAAGTTGACATCGTGAAATTGCATTTGGTGAAATACGGTTTTGTTCCAAATTATTTTTTGTGGAATAGACAAGGTGAAACATTGAGTGATAGTAGTCCAACTAGGGATCATGCTTTCGAGAATCAGAACTTTGGTTTTGAAGGTATGCCCTCATTTTCTTATCGGCAAATGGTCCTTGATGCTGCTGGTCCAGACTTTATCCCAACAAGGATTATGGATGAAGAGCCAAATGCAGAAGATAAAAAATTCTTTGACATGCTAGAAGCTACTGATAAACCATTATGGCCTGGTTGTGAAAACTTGTCACAACTATCCATTGTATCCCGTTTATTGAATATTAAGTCAGAGTTTCGTCTATCTGAGCAATGCTTTGATGCAATTTGTCAACTCTTTAAGGATGCATTACCAGAAGACAATTATATGGTTAATAGCTTTTATGATATGAAGAAGTTAGTACATGGCCTTGGACTTCCGGTGGAGAAAATTGATTGTTGCAGTTCAGGGTGTATGTTGTATTGGGGTGAAAATAAAGACTTGACTGAATGCAAAGTTTGTCAACACCCTAGATACAAGACATCTGTGGATTCAGCTAAGCAATCGCGTGTACCTTACAAGCGAATGCATTATTTGCCACTAACTCCAAGGCTAAAACGACTCTATGCTTCACAAAAGACTGCTCCTTTTATGAGATGGCATGCCGAGGAACATGGACATGGTATAGGAGAAATGTGTCATCCTTCTGATTCTGAAGTTTGGAAAGATTTTAATGTTAGTCATCCTTTTTTTGCAGCTGAAAGTCGTAATGTTAGGTTGGGTTTATGTACAGATGGGTTTCAACCCTTTGGACAATCTGGACAACAATATTCTTGTTGGCCTATCATGGTTACACCGTATAATTTGCCTCCATCAATGTGTATGAAAGATCCTTATATGTTTCTGAGTGTAATAGTTCCTGGACCCGATAATCCTAAACATAAGTTGGATGTCTTTCTTCAATCTCTTATTTCTGAACTAAAGAATTTATGGGAAGAAGGCATTCTTACATATGATGTGTCTTTGAAGCAAAATTTTCAAATGAGAGCAGCTTTATTGTGGACGATAAGTGATTTTCCTGCATATTCTATGCTTTCCGGTTGGGGAACATCAGGGAGAACTGCGTGTCCTCATTGTATGGAAGATTCTCAAGCATTTTATCTTCCCAATGGAAAGAAAATGTCTTGGTTTGACAACCATATAAAGTTCCTTCCTCTTGATCATCCATTTCGACGAAACAAAAGTAAGTTCACAAGAAATCGTGTTGAAATGAGGCCTCCTCCTCCTATTAAGAGTGGGAGACAAATTTTGCAAGAAATTGACGAATTCGGATTGTTGAATGTTGTAGAAGATGATGCTGAGGAAGTGAACAAGGAATGCAGCAGTATTTGTGGATGGAGAAAACGGAGCATCTTTTGGGATTTGCCATATTGGAAAACTAATCTCATTCGACATAATCTTGATATCATGCATATTGAGAAAAATTTCTTTGAGAATGTGTTTAACACCGTAATGAATATAAAGGGAAAGACAAAAGATAATGCGCAAGCAAGGGAGGATATGAAACTCTTCTGTAATAGAAAGGAGTTACAAAGGAACCCCCTTACAGATAAGTACCCTAAAGCATGTTATTCATTAGACGATAATCAAAAGAAGGTCATATGCGAATGGGTAAAGAGTTTGAAGTTCCCAGATGGGTATGTTTCAAATCTTGGAAGATGTGTTGATATGAGCAAGCATAAATTGTTCGGCATGAAGAGTCATGATTGTCATGTTTTTATGCAAAGGCTAATGCCAATTGCTTTTCGAGAGATGTTGCCAGTTAAGGTATGGGAAGCACTAACTGAGCTCAGTCTTTTCTTCAAGAACTTAACTGCAACAACAATTAAAGTTGATGACATGGCTAGATTAGAAGCCGAAATTCCACTAATTCTTTGTAAGCTGGAGAGTCTACTTGTGCCTGGGTTTTTTAACCCGATGGAGCATCTACCCGTGCATTTGCCTTATGAAGCTAAGATCGGTGGCCCAGCACAATACCGATGGATGTATCGTTTCGAAAGGTAAAATTTATGATGCTTGATAAAAACATTAATTCCCCATTCTGTTTTAATAGCTAAGATGTTAATTTCTTTTTAGATATCTGCATGAGTTGAAAAAGGATGTGAAAAATAAAGCTAAATTAGGGTAATGATATATATACATAGAGGAACAGATTTTTGTTGTGATTGGAGCTGATTATATTAGGTAATGACTAAGTTAGACAGGAGTAGCTGTTACAGCAACATGGACAGAGTTCAAATGAACACTTAATAATTAAAAGTTTCTGAATTAATTAATTAACTAATGACTAAATAAACTGTACACGTTGAATCATATCTTTTGATTTAACCATAGTTTGTTTGTCATTAATGATTCCTACTCATTCCTTTACGCACATTATAGTCACCAAAAGAATAGCACTATCAATTTTTATTGCTAGCAGTTACCACTACTTATCATTGAGGCTGAATCGTTGATATAACTCATTAAGGCAGCAAGTTGGAGACCTCTAGTGACTTCTATGTTTCCAATTTTGTCAACAAAATGAGAGCTCATGATGCCATCATTATCACAATATCACATATGGGTTTACACTCTCCATCACATCATACATTCTAATTTCCAGTTACCACTTACCTAACCAAAAAAATATACAGATCAAAAAACACCCAGGCCACACTAGAAAATAAGAACTTTGTGGAAATTTATTAATCCGGGACATGAATGATTGGCTAACTCTAAATCAAGAACCTTAGAGATAAAAATTATCGACATAGGACTCGAATGACTGAGAGCTATCAATTTAAGACCTCATTTATAAATAGATTTTGATTTTATCATATTGTCATCTCTTGAACTTGCAAAATATATTTGCTAGGTGGCTCGGTATTTTGTGACTTTAAATGGCAGCATATAAACACAAAATGTAGTCATTTTTTGCAGGAAAATGTCTAAGTTGCCGCCATCTGGTCAAGGACTAACCAAACGTAAGCGACCAGCAACTCTAGTGCCTAGATTTGTGAGTCGTGTGCCATCACCATCTACTCAATTATTTGGTTCCTCGTCAGCTACTCCACCATCATCCACTCCATCACTTGGTTCATCGCAAACTACTCCCCAAGTTGGCTCATCGTCTACCAGTCCACCACGTGATTTATCACAATCGACTCCATCACCCAATACCTCCACTCATGCCGGTACTGATACAACTGTCTCAAATAATAATTCAGAGCAACCACTACATGTTATTGGGTCTATAGGATCAAATGGTCGTTTGTGCATTGGAGTTAAAAAAAAAGCAGTAAGTGTTAAGCTTATAAAAACCTGTTATATAAATAAATTATACTTATTAATATTCATTTCTTTATCTGATATTAATTGTTTCAAATTATATTTTTCATCATACAGATTACTTCCTTCAGAAGAATGTTCCCGAAAGATTACTTCTCTTTTCAAGGAAAGGGTTGATCCTCATGGTTACTCTTGGGCTAACTTAAGTGAAGATATAATAAAGTTTTATTGGGATGAGTTTAAGGTACTTTTTCAATCATTTATCTTATACTCTATATTTTTAACTTTGAGCAATCAAGAAAAAATAACTGGCACCGAGCAATTATTATATTTTAATTGACTTATATTAAATTTACAATGAATTGTAGAAGCACTGCTATTGGAATCCTATAATAGAATCTTCAATAAAGGCAGCGTGGACTTCAAAAGCTAAACAAAGATATTCCAATTATCTCAGTAATATGAGAACAGGAAGGTGTGAGAGGAATTCATCAATCACTCAAGAAGTTTGGGACAGTTGGATGAGTATGTGGAGTAGTGAAGAATATCAGAAGAAATCTAACCAAAGCAAAAAAAATAGGCGTCAAGGTGAATTAGAGAAGCCTGCCCCCTCTACTCATACTAGTGGGGCCATATCTCATGCCAAAGTTGCTAGTGAAATTGTAAGTTTATTTAAACTATATATGCCTTGAGTATGCATTTTAATAGAATATGTGATTTGAATATATTTTATTCATTCAACATGTCCAATATTGTGATGCATATGATATTTATTGTTTGATTATTCTAACATTGTACGTTAATAATTATTATTATGTAGGAAAAGAACTCCCAAACTACAGTGACAAGTTATCAGGTTTTTGTGTATACACATACAAAGAATCACGATGGAGAGACTTTTATAAATGATCAGGCTAAAGAAGTGAATGTAAGTATTTTTGAAATTTTATTAATTTTTTAAATAATTTGCGATGCTCTTATATTAATTCAATAAAATATTATAGGAGGAATTTGTTTCACGTCGTGAGGAGCTAATTGATATTGGTGATGAAGTGGATGATGATGAGCTGTTCTATGATGTTGTTGGTGGACCTGACTCAAAGAACAGATTGTATGGAGTTGGCTCATATGGTACACAAAATATTCATAGTAAAGCTTCAGAGTATTCTTCTGAGATGGACACTTCATCATCACAATCTACTAGTGCTGAAGTTAATCATTTGAAAGCTGAGGTGGAACGTTTGCAAAAAACTGTGGAACAACAGAAGGAATTTCAACAACAAGCGGGACAAAAGCAACAGAAAACGGATGATGTCATCCGTGCTTTACAAGAACAAATTGAAACTTTAGTTCGTAATAGATAGAGTTCTTTTTAAGATGATAGTCGGTTTTAATTAGTCATTTGATTAGTAGTATTCTTAAAGACGTATTCATTATTTGAGACATTACTATTGTTACTAGAAGGTCAAAGAGCCTATTCTTTATAGTTTAGAATTTTTTTTATTATTTGAGACAATATTAATGATATTCATCGTTGTTATGACATAGTTGTACTGTTGTATGGTTTAAGAATATTAATTTATGTTGCCCGCAAAAAATGTATGTTGTGATTGTTTTTACAAAATATGTGCAATAGAAATTTGCAATGACCATTTATTGCAATTCGGTCATTAACATTGCAACAAAAGTTCATTTCATTGCACTTTTGCAACGAAAAACGCAACGCAAAATAAACTTAACTATTGTTAAATCCATTGCAACTTTGCAACGTAACTTGCAACAAGGTATATGATTTGTTGCAAACAATGCAATTGAAATTGCAACTAAAGTTTCCATTGCATTATTTTGCAATGGCAAAACTCATTGCAATATTAGCAATGGAAATTGCAACAAAATAAGATTGTTGCAAAGAAAACGCAACGGAAATACATGTGTTGCTTTTATCGTTGCATATAATTGCAACGGATTGAATCAGCGTTGCAAATAATTGCAACGACGTGTATAGCAACCGAATTTTGTCCATTGCATTTGTTGTTGCAAAACACAAATTGCAACGGAAATTGAACATTTTGCAATGGAAATGTGCATTGCAATCTAGCATTTTTCTTGTAGTGTCTAAGTATTTCCTGCTGCTGGCCTTCAGGAGGGGACCATTCGGCTGTATATGTTGTAGGTTTAGGATAGCTTCCTTCGCCTTGTAATGTTGGCTCATGACAACAAAGAGCCTTCGGTTGCTTGTTATGTCCCCCCATGTTGATATAGGAGAGTTTGTGATCCAAATTTAGCATAAAAAGTGCAGACTCCGTCGGGAAATTGCCCGGATGCATCTCCTCGGCATGTAGTGAGGTGCCGGAGGTGATTCTTGATTCGGTTTGGCCACATCTGATAGTTTTGTCATGTCGTAGCCTTCGGGGATGCTTTGAGTTATTGTTGGCTGAGCCTGCCATGTTTCGTAGTATTTGAGCCTTCAGTTTTAGGTACAGCCGAAGGCAATTATTGAGTGGGCTCAGTCACTTGTTGATGATGTCTGTTGTGAGAGGTATCCTTTGTACTTGTGAACTTCCAGGTACCGAAGGTGTTCCCGTGGGGAGCCCTCGGTATGTTTCTGTGAATTGTTGGTGTGATGTACTCATTGATTTCTCGCCGAGTCTACTCCCCTTCACCACCACATTTTTTTTTTTGTGATTTTTGAGTAGTGAAGGGAAGGCTTCAAGAAACTTGGTTTCTTGGTAAGGCTTGGCCTATCGGGAGGTAACAGAATACACCATTAACTCCCCCTCGGGTTAACCTTACGAGTTCCGAGGGGATCGAGGGTCGTTTCCTGGGCACAAGATATGGTGGTCTGTAGCCTGCCTCCCATTGGGGGATGGCGCGGAAAGCGCCTCAGTTTTGAAAGTCGTTCCCTCGGCGCTAGACATAGTCCGTGGCCTGCCACACCCTTGGGGTGGTGGCACGGGGAGCGTTTCGATTTGGAAGTCGAATCCTGGGCATTTCTCGTGGCTATCATACCCTTGGGGTGATGACGCGGAAAGCATTCCATTTTTGAAAGTCGAATCCTGGGCATTTCTTGTGCCTGTCATACCCTTGGGGTGATGACGCGGAAAGCGTTTCAGGGAAGGGTTTTCATTTGCACGCTAGTTGCAAATGGCCGGGTGCACTACGTGTTGCCGGCACCGAGAGGTGGCGCCTTCGGTATAGGCGTCCTCGAGGGGTACGGCTTAGAAACAACACTTGGTGTTTGTCCCGATGTACGGCCCCCGGTACTTGGTACCGAGGGGTCTTCTGTGAAAACACTTGGTGTTTTTCCTTCATTCGTCGTAAGGGGTCGTGGTGGTGTCTACCCTCGGTACTTGGTACCGAGGGGTCTTCTGTGGAAACACTTGGTGTTTCTTCCCATTTGTTGAAGATGTTGTGTTGTTTTCCCTCGGTACTTGGTACCGAGGGGTCTTCTGTGGAAACACTTGGTGTTTCTTCCCATATGTTGAAAGTTGACAGTGGCGTGTCCCCCCGGCACCAGGTGCCGAGGGGTCTCCTTTTGAGGACAGGTGGCACTTTGTTGTAGGCGATAGTATTGTCTACCCTCGGCACTTGGTGTTGAGGGTTCTTCCATTGTGGTAAGGCCTTGGACCTGGGGGTGATATGAGGGCTTGGCCCTTTTAATAATCTTGTTCCATGTTCTCGGCGTCTTCGAAATGTCTTCGTTCTTCAGAATTTTTAGGCCTTGGACCGTAAAATAATACATTCACAAGTTTATGAGGGCTTGGCCGCTCTGGTATTTTGTTGATAAAATTTAACTAAGTGATGTACATTCCAGTGCCTAGGGACTTCAGTCCCATTAGGGAGTTTTAGTTTGTAAGTTCCCGGTTTGATGATGGCTGCCACGATGTAGGGGCCCTCGAACTTTGGTGCCATCTTTCCGCCCTCGGTTGGTTGGCTAGCTTCCCTTCTTCGAAGGACATAGTCCCCTACTTGAAATTCCCGGGAGCGGACCTTGGCGTCAATGTAACCTTTCACTTGCCTTCGGTAGTTTTCTGCGCGTATGAAGGCTTGCTCTCGGCGTTCTGAAATAAGGTGGAGGTCGAGGGCCATATTGGAGTCGTTGGCCTCAGGATCATACTGTGTGACCCTTCGTGTTGGAAGAGTTACCTCGGTGGGGGCCTTAGCTTCAAATCCGTAACAAAGGGAGAAGGATGTCTCGCCAGTTGCCCGCCGAGGGGTGGTATGGTAGGCCCATAAGATGTTGTGGAGCTCTTCTACCCAACCACCTCCTTCGGCCTCCAGCTTCTTCTTTAGGCCCTCGAGCAAGGTCCTGTTGGCGTTCTCCACTTGACCGTTGCCCTGAGGGTAAGCAACGGATGAGAAAGTGTGTTTGATGCCCCATGCCTCTAGGAGGGCACAGAAGGGGGCTGCCTCGAACTGAGTCCCATTGTCGGAGATGATCTGCTGAGGGACGCCAAATCTTGTGAGGATGTTTTTGAGAACAAAGTGACGGCACCTGGCCTCAGTGATGCTGGCGAGGGGCTCTGCTTCCACCCATTTGGTGAAGTAATCGATGGCGACAATGATGTACCTGTTGTTGGAGGTACCCCTGGGCAGAGGGCCCACGAGGTCTATGCCCCACCGAGCGAAGGGTATGGATGTGCTGATGGGGGCATAGTTGACCGCTGGCCTGCCGGGGGCTTTCTGGAAGTGTTGGCATGCAGGACACCTCCGGGCAAGGTCCGCACAATCCCGGGCCATCGTCGGCCAGAAGTAGCCCTGGAGTATTAGCCTTCGGGACATGGAGAAGGGTCCCTGGTGAGCTGAGCAAGTGCCACTGTGCACCTCCTCCATCGCCACTTCGGCTTCATCTTGATGAAGGCACCGAAGTAATGTCCCGTTGTAGGACCTTTTGTAGAGCCTTCCGTCCTCGATAGCGTAGCTGGGAGCCCTCAGCTTTGCCAGCTTGGCGCGGGCCTCATCCTCGGGCAGTTGCCCTGTGGTGATGAAGGTGACAATGTCTGAGATCCAGTCACCCTGCCTTTGTTGTATATTCATGATGGGGCTAGCATGTATACTAGAGAGTCTGAGTTCTTCCACTTTGGCAATCTTCGAGATGTGCTCAGGGTATTCTGCCGAGAGCTTGGATGAAATGTCGGCCTCAGAGTTTTGAGCCCTCGGTATTTGAGTAAAAGAGTGTGCCTCAAATACCTTAAGAAACTCCTTGGCTGCCTCCTTGTATTGTTTCATTCTCCCCTCCTTGGCTTCATACTCCCCGGAGATTTGACCGACGACTAACTTGGAGTCGCACTTGACGTGAATTTGTCGGGCCTTCATGTTAGCTGCCAGCCGAAGGCCACAGAGGAGGGCCTCGTATTCGGCTTCATTGTTGGAGACTTTGAAGGAGAAACAGACTGCATAATAGGCCCGGAAGCCCTCGGGTGAGATGATGACCACCCCTCCTCCACATGCCTTGATGGCGGAGGAGCCGTCAATGTAGAGGGTCCACCAATCGTCCGAAGGGGCCGAGGGCTCCTCGTCCGTGGCTGCCCTTGTCGTACACTCCGTCACGAAGTCCACTAGGGCTTGGCCCTTGATGGCGGGCCTAGGACGGATGTCGATGTTGTATTGGCTCAAGAAGATAGCCCATTTTACCATTCGGGAGGAGCTAGTGGGGCTCCTCATCAAGGCGCCGAGGGGTTGATGAGTGAGGACCTGGACCGGGTGAGCCTGGAAGTAGTGGCCCAACTTCTTGACGGTCCACACGATAGCCAATACCGTTTTTTCCACGGGGGAGTACCGGAGTTCCGCCTCCCTGAGGGTCTTGCTAACATAGAAGATGGCATGCTGGACGCCATCCTCTTCCCGGATGAGTACTGAGCTGATGGCAGCCGGGCCAACACCCAAGTAGAGGTACAGGATCTCCCCTACCTTGGGTTTAGAGAGCACAGGGGGTGAAGCTAAGTACCGTTTCAGCTCCTCGAATGCCTCCTGACATTCTGAGGTCCATTGGAAACCGGCGGTTTTCCTCATGATCTGAAAGAAGGGTAAGGACCTCTCCGCCGATTTTGATAAGAAGCGATTGAGGGCTGCCAAGCGGCCCGTCAATCGTTGGACCTCCTTTACGTTGCGTGGGGGCTCCATGTTGATGATGGCCTGGATCTTCTCGGGGTTGGCCTCAATACCCCTTCGGCTAACCATGTAGCCCAAGAATTTCCCCCCCTGAACGCCGAAGGTACACTTCTTTGGGTTCAGCCGAAGGCTAAACTTCTGCATGATGGCGAAGATCTCCCTTAGGTCGCCAGCATGGCTTGCTGATTGCTTACTTTTGACGATCATATCGTCAACATATGCCTCCATGGTGCGCCCTAGGACAGCTTGGAATACCCTGGCCACCATCCGAGTGTAGGTGGCACCTGAGTTCTTTAGGCCGAAGGCCATGACAAGGTAGCAGAAGATGCCCTCGGGAGTCATGAAGGCTGTTTTTCAGCGTCCTCCTCATGCATGTATATTTGATGATATCCGCGGAATGCGTCGAGGAATGACATGATTTCACACCCCGCGGTTTCGTCCACAAGTTGGTCAATATTTGGCAAAGGAAAGGGGTCCATGGGACACG